GTGGGGGGGTTGCCACTGACAACTCTGGGATCTAATCCCAAAGCTGGGTTCCCCAGCAGAGGGCACCAAATCTGAGGAGGGGACCCACATAACATCTAGCTGTGAAAAGCAGTGGAGTTCTGTCTGCTAGGAAGTGGCAGCTGAAAGTTTGGGTACCCTCTTGAAAAGCCAACCCACAAAAATTCCTGTGGAGTCACCCACCTTGTGCTCAGGCAGAAGGAGGGTGAAGTGGACTGGAGCTGTGAGAGCAGAAGCCAGGACTGGGGACTCAGGGAATAGAGCTCAGAAGGCAGACACCCCGTATTTCCTGGGCTGAGTCATTCCCTCACACAGGGGAGGTCATCTTTCTCACATAGATATCTGCCTTGCCTGGGGAGAAGACAGTCTACTGGAAAACACCTTGCCCTGAGGCCACTTAAAAGATTAAAAGTAACAATTAGCCTCCAGGCAGAAGCAACTGCCCCACCCTGTTGAAAAAACTCTCACCACACCTGATTGTCTGGGGGCAATTTAAGTCAGAATCCTATTAGTCTGTAGACAGAGGCAGTCTCTGGAGGCTTTGAGTCTTTGCCTGGTCCAAATAGTCAGAAACAGCCTTTAATACTGTCCTGCACTAGAGACTGAGAGGTATAGAGGATCGACCTAATACATAGTCACAAACCCAAACAGACAACCAAAATGAGAAATCAAAGTTACAACCCCCAAATGAAAGAACTAGAGAATTCTCCAGAAGAAGAGATAAATGAAGCAGAGGTAAGAAATTTATCTGAACAGAGTCCAGAGTAATGATGTTAAAAATGCTCAACAGTATGGAAAAAAAAAGATATAGAACAGTATGAGAAAAAGAATGACATAACACAAAGAACACATTGGAAGGAATACACAGCAAACTAGGGGAAGCTGAGGATCAAATCAGTGAATTAGAACAGAGCTGAAAATACCACTCAATTAGAGAACCCCAAAAGTAAAAACAATTAAAAAACAGGAGGACAGCTTAAGGAAGCTGTGGGACAATGTGAAACATAACAATATTAGAATAGTAGGTGTGCCAGAAGAGGCAGAAAGGGAGAAAAGAATATAGAAGATTTTGAAGAAATAATGGTAGAAAATCTCCCTAACCTGGCAAAGGAAAAAGTCACACAAGTTTAGGAAGCACAGAGAACCCCAAACAAGAGGAACCCAAACAGACCCACATCCAGACAAATTGTAATTAAAATGCCAAAAATTAAAACAAAGAGAGAATCTTAAAGACAACAAGAGAAAAGAAAACTGCTACCTACAAAAAAAGTTCCCATAAGGCTGACACCTGATTTCTCATCAGAAACTCTACAGGGCAGAAGGGAATGGCGTGAAGTTCTCAAAATAATGGAAAGCAAGGATCTGAAACCAAGATTACGAAATACAGCAAGGCTATCATTCAAAATAGACGGTCAAATAAAGAGCTTCCAAGACACACACAAAAAAAAAACTAAAGGAGTTCATCACCACCAATCCAGCATTACAAGAAATGCAAAAGGGATTGCTGTAAGAGATTGCTGAAAAGAAGAAACAGAGAGAGAAATGTAGACATACAGAAATAAAATGGCTATAAATAAGTATCTTGCAATAATAACCCTAAATGTAAATGGATTAAATGCTCCAATCAAAAGGTGTAGGGTAGCTGAGTGGATACAGAAATATAACCCAACTATATGCTATCTACAAGAGACCCACCTCAAAACAAAGGACACACACAGGATGAAAGTGAAAAGATGGAAAATTTTTTCCCATGCAAATGGAAAAGAAAAAAAGCTGGAGTGGCAATACTCACATCCGACAAAATAGAACTTAGAATGAAAGCCATCACAAGAGAACAAGGTGACTACGTAATACTAAAGGTTTGATCCAACAAGAGGATATAACGCTGGTAAATATTTATGCACCCAATATAGGTGCACCTAAATATATTTTAAAAAGCCCTAACTGGTTTGGCTCAGTGGATAGAGCATCGGCCTGCGGACTCAAGGGTCCCAGGTTCGATTCTGGTCAAGGGCAACATACCTTGGTTGCAGGCACATCCCCGGTAGGGGGCATGCAGGAGGCAGCTGATCAATGTTTCTCTCTCATCGATATTTCTGACTCTCTGTCCCTCTCCTTTCCTCACGGCTCTGGGGAGAGGAAGCTCTTTTATTAAAACACTAATAGCTCTAGTGCTCATCAGCAGATGAGTGGATAAATAGGCTGTGGTGCATTTACACCATGGAATACTATGCAGCTGTAAAAAAGAAGGATCTCTTACCCTTTGAGACAGCATGGAGGGACCTGGAGAGCATCATGCTAAGTAAAATAAGACATTGGAGAAAGATAAATATCATATTATCTCACTCATTTGTAGAATATAATGAACAACATAAACTGATGAACAAAAATAGAGCCAGAGGGGGAAAAACTACACTAGAATATAATAGAAGTAATCCTGTTATTTGCAGATTTTTAATATTTCCTACAAATTTTGTGATACCATACTATGTTAGTAGAGTTTGGGTAATATTATTAAACTTAAAATCCTTTTATTCTTGAAATATTAATGTTTATTGCATGTTACATTATATTTAAGATCATTTTTCTTGAAACATTAAGGTTTATTGCATGTAACATTATTATATTTAAAATCATTTTTCTTGAAATAAAAAAACTGAAAAAATATACTAAAATAATAATAATAATAATTGGCCAGTTCCTTATAGTTTCTTCATCTTAACTTATTTTGAGCAAGGTTTTAGTTGTTATAAGATTACATCTTAGAAACTGATATGCTGAAAGTTCATAAGGCTCTGGGAAATATATTTTTATAAGTTCAAAATGAAATTTTAAAATATTTTAAAGTACATCGATAACAGCACAATAGAATATTATTTTTGTATTTTAAATTAATATTCTAAAAGTAAATAAAATTCCATTTTAGGAGGACATCGGTTTTTTGCTAATAAAGACATAAATGGCCTTATTGATGCTTTCAGTAGAATTTCATCTAGAAGTGGCAGCATCACTAAGCAGGCTATTCAGGTTGGTATCTCAGAAAAATTTCTAGCCTTTGCACATCTTACATAATAAAAGCCTAATATGCTAAGTGTCCAGTTGACCAGTTGACCATTCAACCAACCAAAGTGTAATATGCTAATGATATGCTAAGGCAACTCAACCGCTTACTATGATGTGCACTGACCACCAGGGGGCAGACGCTCTGATCAGTAGATTAGATTGCTGCTGGGGTCCAGCTGATTGGGACTGAGTGAGATGGGCCAGACACACCCTGGAGCCCTCCCACAGTCCCTCCCAGGCTGGCCAACCTCCCATGTCTCTCCCCTGCCCCAATCGTGCACCTGAGCCCTCTTGCAATCCAGGACTCCTTGGGGGATGTTGGAGAGCCAGTTTCGGCCCGATCCCACAGACCAGGCTGAGGGATCCCACTAATGCATGAATTCGTGAACTGGGTCTCTAGTTTGTAATAATTTCTCTCTTGCTAAATAGTCACTTCTTCCTCAAATAAATAACTTTTGCCTGAAAATATTTCAGGTATGCAGAAGAAAAAAAACATCCTTACTGAATTTGCTTTTCTGGGACACTTATAGTCAGCTTCCTCTATTCATCCTTCTATTCTTTATAATTATAAATGCCTTTTATTTGCAAAATTTTCCAAAATAATTCTTAGTTATTTTAATTGAAATTTAAAAATAAATTTAGAATTCCTCTAAACTGACCAAACTTTGAAATGCTATTAAATATAATAACAAATCCGTTTTATGTGTTTTTGTTTTTATATAACAGTTGGAAAGTAAAGCCTTCAATATTACAGGAAGGAAATGGGTAAATGGTACAGTGCCTGTGGATAGTACAATTGGAAATGACACTTTCTTTGTTGTCACTTGGACAATACAAAAGCCAGAAATTATTCTCCAAGATCCAAAAGGAAAGAAATATAAAACCTCAGATTTTAAAGAAGATAAACTAAATATTCGATCTTCCCGTCTTCGAATACCAGGTATTGCAAAGGTAAGAAAATTGTTTTTTTTTTCTCCCATGCTTTACCAATCAATTTGGAGAGAAAAAAATACAGATAACATCTTATACATTGTCAATATTAAAATAGTGATAGATCATCTGTCGCAAAAAAGGAAGCCAAATAGAATAATTAAGAATTCATATCCATACTATTTACTAACTTATAACATCACATATTAAAATCATTGCTATTACTCTGCTAAATTCCTAAATTCTGTTATGTTCCAAAGAGAGTAGGAAAATATTACAAAATCTATCAAAGAGATTTTTTTTCAGACAGGTACTTGGACTTACAGCCTTCTAAATAATCATGTCAACTCTGAAATGCTAACTGTCACTGTGACTACTCGAGCAAGAAGTCCTACCACACTCCCAGTAATTGCAACTGCTCACATGAGTGGAAATACAGCACATTACCCTAGCCCAATGATTGTTTATGCACGAGTCAGTCAAGGGTTTTTGCCTGTTCTGGGAATCAATGTAACAGCCACTATAGAAACTGAAGATGGACATCAAGTAATATTGGAACTCTGGGACAATGGTGCAGGTAATAAGAATCTGCATCAACTTTCATTGAATTTAAAATTCTACTATAGTCACATCACTTAAAAGTTAATATTTCCTGTGTGATGAATCATATTTTTAGAGAGTTAAATTTAATTTTAATGCTTTTAAGTTGTTTTACTCAATTACCTTGACTAGGCATAGACATGAACACGTTTATCTTCTTTATATTTTATGAGCAATTTTACTTTTCTCATGGAATTTTACAGAAGTTTTCTCTGTTTTCATTGGTGTGCCTATACTTTCTCCAGTTTATATTCTCCTGATTAAGATTCCTTTATGAAATAATAACAGCTAATATTATTTGAATGCTTACCATGAATTATTGTTTTACAAAGTCAAGGGTTAGCAAGTTAGCCAGGCTTTGAAATTAAGCAGTCTGATTCTAGGGTTCATGTACTTAAAACACTGTTCAGTACTATTTGCCAAAATGGTTGATATCTCTAGTACTTATGAACAGTTAGGACAGTCATTTTTACTTTGTTGGATGGCTAATTATTGTATTTCAATATCAAGGTGCTGATACTGTCAAAAATGATGGCATCTACTCAAGATATTTTACAGATTACCATGGAAATGGTAGATACAGTTTAAAAGTACATGCCCAGGCAAGAAAAAACAAGGCTAGGCTAAATTTAAGACGACAGAACCGAGCTCTGTATATACCAGGCTACATAGAAAATGGTAAGTGGCCTTAAAATAGAAATGTGTCCTTTGTTAAGGTAAATTACACGTGTCAAGCATTGAAAATACAATGTCCTATGGAAAACCTAAGTAATAGTTATAAAATCACCTGCATGTTTCAAAACCATAGTTATGTAATGGACATAGCATTGGGCTATGCTTCTAACGTGTTTTGTTTTGTTTTTTTATATCCCCCTCAGTTCATTTCATGTACATTGAAAAAAATTTACTGAGCACTTCCTATGTGGCAAGCATTATGTTAGATGCTGAAGCTACAAAGGTATTAAATAAGACACTATCCTTGTCCTCAAAGGATTTACAGACTAGTAATAAAAATAGTTTAAAAGATAATACTAATATTGCATAATGTCTCCTCACCAATTTTAACATGACACCAATAAAATAAGCTTTTTTTCACCAAAAGGTATTCCATTTTCAGTGTCTGCTATCAATCAATATTAACCCTCTACAGCTGCAAGATGAGATGACAAGATAAAAACAGATATAGCAATATTGCAAGTCACAACATTACTGTTTTGTTAGGTACAATTATACTGAACCCACCCAGACCTGAAGACAAAGATGACATGGAAGAGGCTGAAGTAGACGACTTCAGCAGACTAACCTCAGGAGGGTCGATTACTGTATCAGGAGTTCCTCCTGCTGTAGATCTCACTCAGGTGTTCCCACCCAGTAAAATTACAGACCTCAAGGCTAAGTTTAAAGAAGGCCATATTCAACTTTCATGGACTGCCCCTGGCAATGTTCTTGATAAAGGAAAACGTAAGTTTGATATTATTTTAAAACATACTGAAAGAAATCCCATTGGCTTTCATTTGCTAAGAATTTTCTAATGTCCTATTTATAAATAACAACTGTGGAGTGTCTATGATGGGCCATTAGTTACCTATTTTTCAGATGCAAACACTGAAGCTCTAAGAGATAGTTAACAGCCCCAAATTGTCAGATTCTATTGGGCCAAACTGCCTTTCACAATATGAAACATCTTAGAAATTACTTTGAGAAGATTAATAGCTTTCTGTTGCATTCTTTTCTACCTAACAAGGAAAACTTTTTCTACGTATTTCTGTACTAGTACAATTGTATTCATTCATTGACTTTCTTTGAATTTTCAAACATAGTAGGTTCCTTCTAAATAATCCCTACTCAGCATTCAGTTGAGTATAGAAGACAATTTATGTAAGAAAATAGATAATTTTGTAGAATGTGATAAGTGATAATGCTATTATAAGCACAGGTGATATAGAAGCACATTGGAAGGCCACAATTCCTGGTTGTGGGTTAGAACACAGAGTATATTTTAAAAGGCTTCCTAAGGAAGTCTATCCCTGACCTAAATCTTGAAGAATGAGAGAAGTTAGCCAAGCTAATTGAAGGTATTCCATGAAGAGAGAGGATTATGGGAAGAGAAACTCAAACTAGTTTGAGAGATTTGACCATTGAGTTTGAATAAAGTTCAAGGCAAAAATATCTCATTCATTCAAAGTTTCCTAAAATAAATTGCTCTCATTCCAGAAGGTTAAATCACCTTTATCTTTGCTTTAAATTTACCTAAGTTTCATTAGTATATGTTGAATCCCCACCATACTTCCCAGTATTGTGCTAGACTAGGGGATTCTTAAGAGATAAAGCCAATCTTGCAATTTTCCTTTAAAGGTGGAAAAATGAAAACAATATTCATTATCAATACAGACAATATCTCAGGCATTGTCAGTGCTGAAAAACCGCATGTTCAGTGCTCTTTCTCCTGGGTTACAATAAATACCTCAATAGAAAATATACTTTTCAATCTTTCATTTCCTATATAGCATTTTTCAAAGATAAAATTTTTATTATGATAAAGGAAAATTCATTCTAAAGCCAAAGAAAACATAGAATACCCATGAAGAGCTCTCTTCTACTTCAATGTGGAAAACTCATCATGACAACTTCTGAAATACATTATTTTTCTATGCTATTACCCTCAAATATCTGGCAGAATTAAAAAAAAAACTTCCACTGGAAAAGCCTTAAGTGAAATTACCTGACCAAATGTTTAGTTCTAAATTCTATTCAGTCAAGACCACTCTTTCAGATCAAGATTTGGTTCATAGCAAATGTCCCTCGGGCTGATTATAGAAACTAACAATGGGAAGAATGGATTATTTATGGACACACAGAGAGAAAGAACTTCACTGTATTTAAGCATAAATGCCTAAAATAAGTGGGATCTAATCTCCTTCTTTCCTCTGTGACAAATTAGAAGAGACTGTATTTGCTATGAAATGTTGCCTTCAGATATTACAAAAGTAGGTAGAAGAAATGAACATATAATCTCAAAACCAAGTACTTAAATTCCCTGTGACCTAATTTCCTTTCCTGTTAAACATGCAAATTAGACTAGATGACGTGGGTTACTAAAACAAATAGAGGTAATTCTAATATTTTATGATTCTCTAGTTCCATCATTTGGTGCATCAACTTAATAACTGTATTGTTGACCAACAAGTAATTAAGTAAGTCAAATACGTATCTAAAACGGTAACATGTACCAAAAAACAGTATAAAACATAGTTTTTGCCCTCAAGAATAATATGACCTAATTGAAAAGATAAACTGAACCTCCATAAAATAATCTGGGAAGCAACATTATGTGCAATAAGATTCATGGAAGAGCCCAGGCCAGTGTTTCCCAGTGGTTGGAGCATTGTCCCATGCACCAATAAGTTGCCAGTTGGATTCTGGTAAGGGCATACACCTAGGTGACAGGTTCAATCCAGGTCAGAGCACTTTTGGATGCAGCCAATTGATGTTTCTCTCTCTATCTCTCTCCCTGCCCTCCTCTCTCTCTAAAATCCATTTTTCAAACCTCAGGTGAGGATTAAAAAAAAAAAAGAGAGTTCATGAGAGAGTCATCAGGGTGGATAAACACATTAACACAACTTCATGAAGAAGTTGGGCCTCTTATTGGACCTTAAAAATTAGTATCATTTGCATAGATAGGGAGAGAGGTACATTCCAGGGAGTTGTGACAGGGAGAGAAGGAACAAAATAATATGATCAAGGTCAAGAAACCAAAATTTCACAATGGAATATTTGAAATAAAATGAGAGGAAAAGAAAGACAGATAGACTGAGAAATTAGATAGATAAACAGACCCATCTAAATGGAGTACAGGGTGTGTGTGAAAAGTAGTAGGCAGAATGGATTGATAAGGCCTACATATAAGTCTTCACTTTAGAAAAAGACATTTGCTGTTTTATTGTTTATGGCATTTCAGAATGTGAGAATTTATTTTTACATTGATGGCTGATAGATTTCTAAAAGCATTTGGAATGAAACATTTATGTCAGCATCTTTCTTTCCTTTACTGATAAAATAAGTTATATTAGCTAATAGGTCAATAATTTACTAAGTCCTAGACATTATGCTAAACACTTACCTACGTTTTCATATATAATTCTCAACATTAGAACAGTAAATATTCAGTAAACGTGTGTTGAATGAATTGAATGACTGAATCTCTATTATACGGATAAGAAAATTAAAGGTAAAAAAATGTAAAATAAAATTGTTTTGTTATACAACTAGAAAGTAGTAGAATTAAGATCTTAATCAAAGTCTACCTAGCACTTAAGCACATAAAAATTAGTAAACAGCCCTTGCTGGTTTGGCTCAGTGGATAGAGTGTCGCCTGCGGACTGAAGAGTCCCAGGTTCGATTCCGGTCAAGGGCATGTACCTTGGTTACGGGCACATCCCCAGTAGGGAGTGTGCAGGAGGCAGCTGATCGATGTTTCTCTCTCATCGATGTTTCTAACTCTCTATCCCTCTCCCTTCCTCTTTGTAAAAAATCAATAAAATATATATTTTTTTAAATTAGTAAACATTCCACTCTCTGCCTCCTTTTGCTTTTTTTCCTCAGCCCTGTCTTCCATTCTATTTATCTGCTCTCTTATTTTCCCCTCCTTTTACTCCCTCTCTCAACTTATTGAGAAATAAAACAGATGTGCAGTACTGAATGTCTTTACTATATTCAAACATCATGTGTTCCTAGTTCTAAGTTAAAAGTGGATTCAGCTCTTTATTGTTCTATTTCTAAAAATAAATCTAGATTCTGGTTTTTTAGTTATATAATTTTAGTTATATGATTTTTATGTAATTGTGAATTAAATTTCTTGTAATTAGATAACTAAACAGAAACTGTTCATGTATTTGTCCTTAAAATAAAGAAGATGGGATAACCTGACAACAGCCATAACTGAAATTTCCATAAATAAAACCCAGTGTGCATTTCTGATAGGGCCCTAAATGTAAGACAGTGTGGTGGCAATATGGCATCCTAGTGATTTTAATTTACATTAAAAATAGAAATGTTTATTTTCTTTCCAGCCAAACACTACATTATAAGAATAAGTAATTATCTCCAGGAGCTCCAAGAAGATTTTGACACTGCTACTTTAGTGACTACTTCTAGTCTGATACCTAAGGAGGCTGGCTCAACAGAAAATTTTGAATTTAGACCAGAACCTTTCAAAACAGAAAATGGCACCAGATTCTATATTGCAATTCAAACCATCAATGAAGCCAATCTTACCTCAAAAATTTCTAACATTGCACAAGCAACCAAGTTTATTCCTCCACAGGAACCCAGTGTCCCTGATCTGGGTACCAAAATTTCTACAATCAGCTTGGCAATTTGGGGATTAGCTGTGATTTTATCTATGTTTTAAAATAGAAATTATATTAGAACTAAATTCAATGTTATACATAATTGGTACACACTTATTTAGAATTTGCTATTCTTGTCTATTATAAAACTCTTTGTAAGATAAAAGTGAGTGTACAAAAGTAAATTTCCCAATCACTTGAGTTCATTAATACTAATTAGTTGCTAAATGTATAACAAAATGAGTGTGCTAGTTCTTATCTTTGAAAAATAAGTTTATTAACTCAATATAAAAAAGAAAATGCATATTTGCACTTGTAGATGTTTTAAGAAACATTTTTTGGATGTGCCACAAATTCATTTGGTATATTAACAAAGTCAGAATTTATCTGAGCTATTTCAAAAATATTTATGTACCCACAATAGAAATAATTTTATGGTAGAATTATTTAGGTTTTATTCTTGATTCTGAATGATTACTTTACGTTTACATAAACTGTAATCAAAAAGAACTATAAAGATAAGTTTTCAATGAGAAATGGTCTAGAGCAGTAGATAGGTCAAATTTGCTTTGTGTCATTGATTAAAAGTGGTATCTCAAAGTTATGACTCTAACATGAAATGACTATTTGATAGCAAGAATGTTTTTTTGAATAAATTTTGTAACATCACAAGAAGTCCTGTTTGTATTATTAGGTCCTAAGAGTATCACCAAAATGTTCCATCAGGGCAGAAATTTTTTTCACTGCTATATCCTCAGTATCTAGAATAGTACTCAATGCATTGTAAATATTCAATAAATATTTGTTAAACAAGGTAATGAATATTTTTATACCATCAACAAATTCCAAATTTGATCCATTACATTAAAAATATCCACAAAGTATGATGTGTACATTATGAGGACCTGATATAATGAAAACTAACCAGTTAATAACAGTGACCTGAATCAACTCAGAACATATCTTCAGAATTTGTAAACCATCTGATAAAATTAAAATTAAACAATTAATATAGTAATAATGTGATTATTTTCCTGAGAGACAGAGACAGAGGAACAAACAGTGACAGTTAATTAGAGGAAAATCATTTGTTTACAGGCAGGAAGATTTCAAAAACTCTTTGAATGTCTGAAAGGAGGAACATATATGATGTATCTTTAAAGTCAGAAAAAATCATAAAACATTAATAAATTAAATCCAGAAGAATATATTACAAAAAATAATATATTTTGACAAGTTGGATTTATCCCAAGAATTCAAAAATTATTTAATGTTAGAAAGTTGATGTAATTCACCACATTCATAGATTAAAAAGGATTATATTATCATCTCAATACATGTGTATATTACAATTCAACCACCATTCTTCATTAAAAATGAAACCTTTGAAAACTTCATTAATTTGATATTATGAACCTTAATGTCCAAACTCTATCATTTAAAAATGAAAAAAGGGCATTAAATCTTCAAGTAGGGATGAGAAATCAGATACCAAAGAAGGAGAATTCTAAATTTCTAGGAAAGTAAATCACTAAGAGTCTGTAAATCATTTTTTAAAATACTGTTGATTATGAAAGTCTCACAAGTTCAGAAGATAATCTATTCTCATCTACATGGCCACTATACTAAGAAATGATTTCTAGAGCTTTAGCAGTCACTGAGGAAACTGAAATTCCTATGCAGTAAGGGAAAAAATAGAAGATACAATAATAAGGAAGAATGATACAAAACTATTTGCAGGTGACATAGAAAATGAAATAAAATTAACAAATAATGAAAACTAAAGAAAAATTCTGGCAAAGTTACCAGACACAGATCAATTTATAAAAATCAATAGAGCCAATCTGAAATGTAAAGACCCTCAAAATCATCACTCCCATCCTCACAACAAGGGAAAACTCTGAAAACTGAAAATCAACAATTCTTTTTAGATCCATCAGAGAATTAAGGTCACACCACAACCTGCTGCCCCCCAAATTAGAGGGTCAGGCAAATACAGAGAATCATAGCTTACCATGATCAGAAGTCTGCCAATGAAGCCAGTGCCAATAGGAGTTCAAGCTTCAAATGATGATTTGCTAAAGGCTCCATGTGGCTGAGCTTGAGAATTAAAAACTCCAGGAACAAAAATAAGAATTACAGAAAACTTTTCTTCAGAAACCATATAAACAAGAAGAAGGTGGAGTGACATATTTAAAGTGTTGAAAGAAAAACCGCCAATTCCTCTGGGTTTATATACATTGAAATTGAGAACTTCTGTCCACATAGAAAATTATTGGAAAAATTAACAGTTGACAGACCAGAGAAGAGATTTACAATGTTCAAAACCTGGTAAAAAATTAATATATAGCATGTATAAAGAATGGCTGCAAATGGGTAAGACAAAGGAAACAACAGGAAAACAGGCGAAGGATATAAGTAGGCAAATCATTTAAAGGGAAGCCCACTGGCAAATAAGTGTAGAAATTAGAGATATACACCGAATCAGAGAAATGCCAATTGCCACAACATTGAGATACACAGATTAATAACATTTAGAATCAGATAACATAAATTATAAATAAGAAAGTAAAGAAAAAAATATTTTGCATCCTCTACTGGCAGGAGTATAACTGAAGCAATATTATGAAAAATAATTTGATGGTATTTTATTAATTCAATATACATATTGTCCCATCCTCCAATAATCACACACCTGGGGATATATATCAAAGAAACTAGTACATAAATAAAAAAGCAACTTGAATGAGGCTCTTTAACACAGTGTTATTTGTAGTTGTAGGAAGCTGAAATTTACTTTAGGTTTCCATAGCTATAGAAATAGATAAGAAAAAGAAGGTAAAGGTGGGATAAATGGTAATGGAAGGAGACATGACTTGGAGTGTTGAACAAATCATACAATATACAGGTGATGTACTGTAGAACTGTATACCTAAAACCTACATAATTTTATTATCAATGTAACCCTGATAGATTCAATAAAAAATATTAATATATTTGGAATACAGTATAATTCAACAAAAATTCAGACTGATCATGAACACCGTACATGTGCTGTGAGGAAATTCTTCCACATGGCACAATGCTTTCTTGCTACTTCAGAGAGAGAGCATATTAATGGGGATCTTAAGCACCAATTCTATTGACTATAGTGGGGTTTCTTCATAACTAGTCGGTAATCCTCTGTAGAGCTGAACAGTAATCTGAGAACTTCTATACAAAAATGAGAAAAAAGAGAAATAGATAAGAAAATACAATCTATATATATAAAAGGCCAAGTGACCGGCTGACCAGCTGGTAGATATGATGTGCACTGACGACCAGGGGCATCACTCAATGCAGGAGTTGCTGCTCAACAGCAACTTTGCAGAGTGCTCCCGCGCTCTCTGGGACCCCTCAGGGGATGTCAGACTGCTGGTTTCGGCCTCATCCCCCACAGGCCAGGCCGAGAGACCCAACCTGCTGGAGGGACCCTGCTCACTCCACAGACATCCTTCAAGCCCTGGCACCGCCCCAGGTGTGGCCGGCCAGGGAGGGACTGAAGGAGGTAGACTGCAGGGTGTGTCCGGCCTGTCTTACCCAGTCCCGCCCCGCTGGCCACCTTCTAATTAATTTCCTTTCCATGTGCATGAATCTATGCACCAGGCCTCTAGTATTTATATAATCTAAAATACTATACTACACTTAGAAGCAATATAGAATCTATCTATATAATAAGCCAGTGGCTGTAATGACCATAACAACCAGTTGCTATGATGCCCACTTCAGCCAGCCAACCGGTCGGATCCTGGGGTGAGGCCCCCAATACCCAGATCGGCCTGCAACCCCTCCCTGCAGCCAACTCTTCCCCCAATTGTTCCCCCACACACACCAATCGGGGGTGGGGCTGGCCAGCCAACCTCCCACAGCCCTTCCCCCAGCCACTGACCCCAGATCGGCCCTCCCTCACCCCATTCGGGGGCAGGGATGGCTGGCCCACAGCCCCTCCCTACAGCCGGTCCCACCGCCAATTGGTCCCCCCACCCCAATCAGGGGTGGGGCCCACCAGCCAACCACCCGAGGCCCCTCCCCCCAGCAGGTCCAGCCATGATCGGCCTGGCCCTGACCAATCCATTGACTGGGGCTGGGCCGGCTGGACCTCACCCATGCACGAGTTCACGCACTGGGCCTCTAGTATACATATAAAGCTATCTTAAACATGTAGTGTTGAGTGAAAAAGATTGAAACAAAGTAAGAGCTATAAGACAACAACACTTACATAAATTCATACATAGATGCACACACAAAATAATATTTTATTTTACCAAGATACATAACAAACACATTAAAGTAAAAGCCATTGAGGGCAGGAGAAATGGAGTTGGGCTGTGGATAGTGAAAATAAAAATATGTAAAATGGTATAATACAGGAGCCATGGACCAATGATGATAGTGTACCATCTATTGAGGAAAATTGTTCATTGAGTTTCAAATGAAATGAATAACTAGCAATAATAAAAACTAAACATTAATAATGAAAGAAACTCTGTTATTACAATTCACCATATTAACAAATTAAAGGAGAAAAATTAGTATCTCAATAGATGCAGAAAAGTCATTTGATATATTCAAGTTATTATTCATAATTTTTTTAAAAGAAAAATGTGAAGAACTGGGATTTAAAAACAACTTTAAGGACTACCTAGGCAATTCTGTACCAAGCATCATAATTTATAGGAAACATCAGAATTATTTCCATTATAGTCAGGAATGCACCAAGATACCTGCTAGCATTGCAACTAGCCAATATTATGCTGGAGGCCCTAACCAAAGTAAAAAGACCAGATATTAAATAAGTATGAGTGATATAAACTGACAAAACTGTCTTTATTTTCTTCATCTTCATAGAGATGCAAGCAAAACAATATGAATATGAAATTCAATAAAGTTCTTATTTATAAGCAAATAAATTAGAAATGGTAATTTTGAAAATTCTCATTCACAATAGGAATAAAACTATAAAATACCTAAGGAAAAAATCTAAACAAAAATGCAGAAAACTATAAATATTACTGAAGTACATTTTAAAAGATCAAACCAAACAAAGAAATTCATCAGATTCATGTTTTTAAATACTCAATATTATTATTTCAATTCTTTGAATTTTGATTACATATAAATTCAAGATAGCTTAATGAAAAAAATTAAAGACTAAAAGTTCATGACAATTAGGAAGCAGATATTTTTCAGACTCAAAAAAAGGGGGAGGGAATATTAACAACTCACGAAAAAAATGGGCAAAGAAGATAAACAGCCAAGAAAAATTAAAAGGCTAATCACATTAGGAAAAGATTCTTAACTTAAAAGTAACCAGGGAAAAGCAGGTTAAAAGAATAAAAAGATAATATCTACCAAGCTGTGATGAAAATGAAAGAAAATAAGGACTCTGCAAAAGCATTTGCTTGTATTTAGTAAAATAAAATAAAAATTCATGCATTTAAAGGTAGATCCTTTAGAGAAACTTATATTTGTGTTCTGGGATATATGAAAACATTCAGCATAGTTTTTAAGAGTGGAAACAGGAAATAATCCTAACTGTCCAGCTGTAGGAGACTTGACAAATAAAATGTGGTGTATTCATGAGATGGGCTATACAACAGCTAAAAGAAATCAATTATATCTATCTATATCTATAATAAACAGATTTTGCTGTGTAACTTAAAACCACAAAAAAACACACAAATTATTTTGTAAGCACAAATAAGTAAAACTATTTTTAAAATCATTTGAATAGGAAACACATTAAATTCTTCCTAGAGGACGCTTCAGAGTGGGTAGAAAGGTGAATGGGATGTTGGTTTAGT